CTAATACTTTAATGAATTGTTACGTATAGGAACTTGCCCCAGAGCACAAAAAAACAGCTCCACCTAAAAACTTTGGTTTGTTGGATGAAATGTTTGTGTTAATAAGAAGACCAGATCAGAAAGAGAAAAGAAATTTCATTTTGGAGATAATATACTGATTCCTCAGTTGGAGTTTTCTGGACATTTAGTATCTCACCAGAACACAAGCAATATAAATTATATTAATGTGTTTATAGTTAAAATGTATTAATGCATTTATATCCCAAAAAGTTACTTCCTCAGCAGTCAGGCAACAGAAGTTTTCATTAAAATATTTTGTAACTTTTGTTGGCATCAGTGATCCAAATGGGCTAATGCTCCAAGTCAGGAGTATCTTTTGGGTCTTTGATTGTTCAAATACAGAGTCAGAATGCATATCTGGACTAATATGAAAATGCAGTAGGTTATAACAAAACGACCATGTGAAAGATGTATCAGAGACAGAACCGCCCTTCTCTTTGGCTGCACTTCCTTGACGAAACCTTGAGACAAAAAGCAGGCGAGGAGTTTCATTTGCTATACAGAAAGACAGATACAGAATTATTTCCTAACAGCTGACATAAAAAAGTGTGCAACTGGACAGATTTCTGAAATGCTGACAATGGAAGTGTTTAAAGCCCTGTGCTGCAGGTCACTATTCCTCTCTAGTGAACAGGAGCTGTTATATCCCACCTTGCATTGATTTACCATTACTGCACGGATTCCTCATTTTAACAAAACATATCGTTAGATTCTAGGTAAGTCTTTGACAATTCCTTACACTGGCCTGTGGAATTCAATTGCCACCATTAATTTCACTCCGGTATTTATCAGCAGAAGCTTTTTTCCTGCATGAACCAATTTATTTAATTGAATAGTTTAAAGGGCTCCAAAACCACATACAAAAGATGAGGTTATAGCTAACAGCTTTCAAATATACTTAAAAGCTTGAATCATTAGCAGTTGCTTAAACTAAGAATTTTTAAGTGCAAGCCAGAATTTATTGCAAACTAGTCTTAGTATTGTGATTTTTCACATTTCATTTTTTCACAAATACAGCAGGCAGTTAAAATATTGTGCTGTATTTAGGAATAAAGCCTTTACTTTGCTGTCCTTCCACTTTTCCAGTTTTTGGCATTCCTGGAATATTACATGCATCATTTCCTCAATTCATTATCTGAGTATTAAATTGTTAAACACATTTAACCCCACAATTCTCTTAAATGGTAAATAAATCCAGTTCCTCAAATCCCACAAAATCCTGAGGCCCACAATTCCAGAAGACCTGGAATGCTGTAATGCCGCTCCAGATAAGCGATTTTTGGCTCCCTATGCATTAGAAGTAACAAGAATCAAAGGATGGCACATGGGAAACCCCTTCAGTGCAGTAGCTATTGGGAGATTGCAGCCCTACACGCAAAATGCACCTGGAGGTGAGAGAATCTTGTTTCTAACCCTTAACCATGCAAATATTTTGATATTCCCACAAAAAAAGGAAAAAAAATTCTGTAGATGGCTCACTGCTGAATACCCTGAGGATAAGCAATGAGTTGCCACTGAGCAAGATGCAGGTTCAGATCTACTCCAGGAGGGAATATCCAATTTCTTTGTGTCCAATCAGTGGGCTAGGGAATGACAACAGTGGCATTATCCCCACACTTCCTCTGATCAAAGAAGTTCTGCACGTGACTTGGTATGGATTAGGTATGTATGTCATAAGATCAAACGCTACAAATGAAAAATGAATGCCAGCATAGTTCCTCTTAGCTTTGTGCGATGGGGATATAAAAGTGGATAAATTAATTTTCAAGACCTGAAAATCACTGTCTGTGACTCACATAAGAGTGGAAAACCACACCATACTGACAACCCGTTAAATGGTACTGTTAACCTGAGATTATCCCTTCTTGCCTTTTCTATACAACAATAAAGTCCAATATACTTTTCAAGATTATGATGAATGTCAAAAAAATTAGGGAAAACCTAAGCTTCTTTGAAGAACTGAAGAAAATCCTGCAGAAATCAATAGTAAGATTGCTATCAATATGTTTGGAACAGGCCCAAAATGATTATCTCTGACATTAACATAAAGAAATTGCAGTTCTTGTATTTATAATTCCTTTTAGCAACAGTGGACAAATGTACTAGGACAGAACAGAGTTAACCCTTTCTCTGGCATGCGTTACATGCACAGTTTGGGTTTTTAAAATTCCTTATCTTGGTTTCTAGAAAAATATGAGTTTGGTGACTTGGGTTTTTTCTTTTGCTGTGGTTTTTGTTTGTTTGGAGTTTTTTATTCAAATAAGCAATTCTGCCTGTATGTAACGACAGAGAAATATGGCATTATGAATTATTCATCAAGTTAAGTGGTTGTCTACATTTGATCACCCTTAACTATGAAGTAAGGATGCAGGAGCTTCAAAGGAATAAGTACCTTTCTGAAAAAAAAAAAAAAAAGAAGCCCCAATTATATAATATACGATGAACTTCAAAGATTAAAAATGAATGGCAAATTCTGAAAGTTTTTATTAAAAAAACCCAAACCAACAAACTTCTATTCACTTCAGTGGAAATTTGTTGAGTTAAATAAGATTAAAGATCTCTAGATCTAACCTATTAATTCCAAGTAAAGAAAAATGCAATGCAATACAGTTCAATGATGATGGTAGCCAAGAGTCAGATTCTTTTACTTTGGATCAGAGGGAACAAAGTTAGTCTTGATCTATAACTTAAAAACCCAAAACAATATTTAACCTTTACCTTGATATTGCACAAGATGCCAACTACTGCACAGCCCATAAATACAGAGCATTTAATAAGATATTACATACCTATCAGATAAATTACTAAATCCAGACATACTTACTTGTTTTAACAATTACACTGGTTGTGGACTTACTCCTGCATGGGTTTTTAATAATTTCTGCATACCATTACAAGACACAAATAATTATAATCTTTCATATATTAGAAATCATAAAATTATTTGTTCAGTTTCCTATGAACTCATCATGTTTTACAATAAATATGACAAAATCCTACAAGTAAAAATAAGAATACTTCTGCTATTTACATATTATGATAAATAATACAACAAACATAAGTGGAAATGAGAATAAAAAGAAATCTAATATAATATAAAATACAGTGAAAAATCTCTTTTGCAATCATTCTGTATGTTTCTGCCTCTTTCAGACTACATTAAATTCTAAATATGTAGAGACATCCACTCTTCTTTACAGCATGTATTTATGTAGTTCATATCATGGAGTATGAAAAATTCATAGCCAGTACGAATGCTTATGCATATTTTTCTCCTAGCAAAGAAGTTTTCTAGTTGTTTTTTGAATAACCATCAAATAATTAGGTTAAGAATGAAATGACAGAAAAAACTATCTGTTACTAGACCTACAAAAAAATGTCCTTTTCAGAGAGTGGAAGTAACTCCCCTGAATTCATAACTTGTTTGATATTTAATTAGAATTAAACATCAGTTGACTCTAGAATCATACCAGCACTTTTTTACGTAACAGAAGTGTTCTTTTCATCTAGTACAGAAAGTTTTGAAATAAACCCAAGGATCTAAACATGTTTGGAGACATCTGCATTTGCAACTTGCAGTTAGTTCCATTTTAGCTGTAAATCTGTCAAAATACTTCATTGAAACACACCCTGAAAATTCAGGAAATTGGAAATTAAGTCCATACATGAACTTTACAGCTGGGGCTTCTTTAGTTACAATGCAGCTTGAGCCAAACCACATAAACAAAATTATTTGAAACAATATTCAATGTAAGCAAAGCATAAACTCATATATGACAATCACTGAAAGTGTTTTTCATTTCAAAATTATAGCGACAACTCTTTGTATTGTGGCCTGAAGCAAGTATCACTGATCATTTTCAGTATGCTGGAACAAGGATATTGGTAACAAATTTTCATGACAGACACACACACTCAATGAGATAATAAATTAGTTTCCCAAGTGAAGGCTCACTAATAAGATTGGATCTAAAATTTAGGTCACTTAATTTTAAGACTCAGCTAATGGGCTAAAAAAAAAAGAGTATAACTTCATAACATAAATTCAGGTTCAATCTTTTTTACCATAAACATTAGCACCATTGTAAAGTTGCAAAGAGTAAGCTTCTTGTAAAATGAAATTATCTAATTGTAAAATGCATTTGATATCTCCTTGCATGGAGGTTATTTCTAAAAGAAAAATAAAATATTCTGTATTACATTATGAAGTTATAAAATTTAAGCAATTAATTTTTAGTGCTGTGTAAGGTCTGATGTCACTGGAAAGATAAATTTGTAAAACTTCTTTCCAATATGATTTATTGATTCTATTTCAAATACAGTGCTTCTTTTATTTGCAAATATCAGGCCTATTATACAATCAAAAAAACTTTACCTTTTCTTCTTTAGTATTCAGAGGTGATGAGAGAGTGTGAAAGTCCTTTAACTCCTTGACAATGTTATGAGAAAACTCCTAGCCTGATAAAGTTAGAAATAGGCCATTTGGCTTGTCTCACACAGAAATAAAGTATTGTGAACTGTACTCCCAGCTTGCTCTGATTTCTAGAGGAAGTTCTTTTAAAATAATATACCAACAAATTTTCCACTTATAAAGAAAAGAAAATTTTCTGAGACAGACGTTTTACAAGGTTGTGTAGTGACAGAACAAGGGGCAATGTATTTAAAGTGAAATTGGATAGATTTAGCTTAAACGTAAGGAAGAAATTATTTATTGTGGTGAGGTACTGGAGCAGGCTGCCTGAAGTTGAGGATGACCCATCCTTGGGAGAGTTCAAGAGTGAACAAAGCCTTAAGCATCCTGGTCAAGTGGAAGGTGTCCCTGCCCGTGGCAGGCAGTTGGAACTGGATGATTTCTAAGGTCCTTTCCAACCCAAACCACTCTATTATTTTTAATGTATTGCAAATTCCTCTCTCAGTCTTTGGGAGAGTCCAAAACTTACCATTTCCATTCTCTATTCTGGCCAATGGCTCTCTGCAAATTGCTGTCTTTCTCAAGGGATTAATAGTCCTTTGAACTTCTGCCAGCAGCACTGCTTGCATTGCCTCAACAATCTGTCATAAATGCAGATTATTATTGGATAATATCAGTACCTCAATTATTTATCAAAGTATTTGACAATTTTAACCAACTTGCACAAAATCTGGAGACTGTCCTGGTGAATGTCATTAGAAAAATAAGTCTTTCACACAGTGATAATCACGTGTCTCTACATACACACTGAGAAAAAAAGGTTAACTAGATAGCAATAAAATAGTGTAAGTTATCAGTCAGGACTGCTTCCCAAAAAACATTCATTTTCTTTAATGTGAAATCTAGAATCAGTCACCTACTGTCTCCTTGATTTCAAGGATAAGCAATTACTAACAAAATATACAAGTAAAACACAAGGTGATAACAGCCAATAAGTATTTTCATTCTTTTTTTCTGATGTGTGCAAAAGTGCTTGACAGACTGAATAATGACCTTGTTGTCTTGGGGTGACTTGGTTTTGACTATTTTAGCATTTCTGGCATCTAATCTCTCTGATAAAATTAAAGAATGTTTTGTTGTTAGTAGTGATGCTCTATTCCTCTAGCTCAAATATACTACCCCCAAATTTTTTGTCTAACACAGAGGGAAATATCATTCCTCCAATCCCTCTTATGGAAAAGAAACATCCACTGGACTTGTGAGCAGCCTGTAAATGGCACTTGCAGTAGCTGATGTACCTCATGTGGGCATTAGGACAATGCAGTGTGGAGACTGTCTGACAGAGTTAATACCTTCCTTCTCTTTAGCAAAAGGGTGCTGTAAGAACTAAGGACATTTTAAGATGTAAAGACACTCATAAAGCACACCAAGACCTTAGACAAAATACCTCAAACCTTTGTAATTCTTAGTCTAAATTTCAGTATGATGTACCTTCTCTGCATCTGGTATTTCCTTCAGAAAAGGAATACAATTTTTCCCATTTGGGAAGTTATTCATTCTCAAGTACAAGAAATTTCCTGAAAAACAGGGTGAATCTAAGGTTTCAACCTCAGCTTAAATATGAATTTAAATGGAATACAAAAACTTTAAGTTCAATATATGTTATTATAAACATTTTAAGCTTAAATGCTACTTATAAAAAAGCTATTAAAATTATTTAAGTTTCATATGGATAAAAGTTGATATGCAGGATCCTTCAAAATGCCTGGAGGAGAGATCAACTCACTAATCAATTACTTGTCCTCAAAAATATCTATAACTGCTCTTGTAAATTCAAATCATTAAGTGAAACAAAGGCTGATGGTGTCCTTTGTGACAAAATCTTTTATTGTAGACAAATATACTATAGTCAGGTCCACAATGTAAAAGTTCACTGCAAGTGAACCCAGCCCTATGTGATTCAACATAGCACAAACCTTCATCTTGTTATAATAGAACTTTATTTTACAGGGGACACCAAAGTCATTTTCCAGTTCCTCACATCTATACTGCCCTGAGCTTTGGGGATTACAGATCCTGACTTCGCAGCAGACTCTTACAATATATCTATAATAATTAAGAAAGAGAAAGAAACACGGACACGTTTTCATTGTCCTGGGGAAATTTTTGACAAAACAATTCTTACAGAGGTACACAAAAGAGATCTGCTAAGAACCTGTCACTAATCTGGATCAGATGCTCTTTACTTGTACCACTGCTGTGCATGCCAGGCAGCATCTTAAAGCAAAAAACTGTAACAAATGGCACAACATGATGTTATTGTAGAGGCATCTGTAGCTGTCTCTGCATGTTACTTGACACTGCATTTCCACAGTGCTTGGTGTGGTCTCATGTTTATAGTTTTTTCTTCTCATGGAATCTTACTCCAAAATTTATATACCTCATCTACCCTTATCACCAAGTTTAACCATCTCCAGTACCATTTCGTGTTTCTAACATGTAACAAATCTACATGCGTACCTTTCATTTTCTCTGGTCACTTCCACTTTATCTTTAGTGTCCTTCTAGATATAAATTAGCTACCTCATTGACTATATATACTTTCATTTTTCTCCCCATAATTGCAATTGCTGTTGAAAATACAATGTGTTTTTTAGTTTGGATTGTTAAATGTGACAAATGATGCTGCTTCTTTGACTGAGGAAGTATAAATAGCATATGTCAACCTATAAATACTGATATTAAAAGTGAAAGATAATTGTTTGACTCTGAAGCAGCAATAATAGAGTAATTAAAAAAGACAAGTGAACAATAGTTGAGATAAGTTGTACTGTTACATCCATAGTGAATTATCCTGGCTTTCCTTTCTACACTTTATCAATTACTTGCAAGAATTACTATTCTCTTTGTGATGAGAGTGTTTAAGGAGAGAAGTCAATAGATACCACTCCTGGTTATTGCTCAGGCCATAACCTCTACAGGTGTGAGCCTTGCAGAAACTGCCTCCCAGGTGCCTCCATAACAGAGTCACATCATGGGGCAAAAATACACATTAGAACATCAACTTGAATGACCCAGTCTTCTTCACTCTAATTCTGCACAGTAATTGTCAGGACAGTTGTCCAGATACTTCTACTGAACTACATATTTTTCTTCATATGCCTATCTAGAAACATGAACACACAAGTCATTCTTGGGTGGGATGGGAATGTGGCAAGGAATGGTAATATTTTATCTGAAAGAACGACAACAGATGAAGATGACCTTTCCTTTCAAATAATCTGGGGGAAAGAAAATACTAAAAAAATATTTTAAAAACATACACATTTTTAACATTTGATTCCATAAAGGACCTCCCTACAGCCTTCAATGAGTCCATAGACCCTAAATAAAAAATCAGCAGCAGGTTTTTTCAGTTTTCTTTGTTTGCACAGGATCTGTTACAGTGCTGTAAGGTGATGAGGAAATAATTGGTAACTCCATTGGGTCATGTCTGGGAGTCAGTATCCTTCATGGAAGATCACAATAGAAAAAAGTTTTTAAAAACAGACTAAATAGCGATGTTTTTGGTAAACGTACATGAGTGCTTAATCAGGCTGCTCAGAATTAATAAATTGGGCATTAAACTGTGATAGCACAAAAAGTTTTAACAAAACCATCTTATTGTCAACAAAAACTATAATTTCACATAAACTACTGGTCACTAAATCTCATACCTACTGCCAACATTTTTTTAAATCTTAAATGTTTTATGGCACTTTGGTGGCAAGCAATCTAAAATCTGTGCTACTAAGTGAGTTATCAAAGCTTAGTGTTGCATGCTGTAGCTGAGCACGTTAAAATTTGAGAAGCATTGAGAGCATGATATTTGCAGTGCTCGACAATTTCAGTGTCTTACATTTAAAGTCTTTTCAGATTAAAAAGTGTGAGACAGCTTATTCTATACCTTGTATTTCTGCACACTAACCTCCTGTGCTAGATGAGACCAGTATCATTGTGTACACTGATCAGTTGCTAAATGGATTCAAAAATACAAATAACTAGATCTCACATAATCAGTTATGCTACAAACACAACTTCATAAACATATTAACTACTCTCTGAAGAGTTCCAGTGGCTGACCAGGTCAGTAAGAGATTTTATGCATTCCACATGACAACTGCAGTTATTGAGGTTTGAAAAGGAAAGGAAAAAACACTTATTGTAAGAGAAAGGGGAATGAAAAAGAATTCAGAAGTAATATGGAAGATGTGCAGACAGTAGGAATATAATAAACAACTGATAAGCTCAAGATGAAATGTTGGAATCAATTGAATGTGAATATTTGCAGAAACTATTTTTGTGTAACAGAACAGGGGACTATTACTGAAGCACCCCTGCAAAACTCAGCTCTGGAAAATATGCTTTGCATTTGAAGTAGCAGAGAGTTGCATTCAATTTCAAAAGTAATATCATAAACTAGATTTGTAACAGGTATTTCCCCTTTCTGGAATGAAATCCATTGTTGTCAGAGTATAACATCTTGAGTTTTGTATCCCTGAATATTAACTCACTCAAACAACAACACAGCTTTATTTAAATGTATATTTCCAAAATGAAAAATTGTCTCTAGATTTCACTGCTTAGATTGTTTCACTGCTGCCTGTCAACTCTCAAAAAGTTATTTATCTCTCAAGACTTCAGATTCTTCATTAATAATAGGCATGAGAATCATCTGACCTGAAGAACCCATAATTACATGACTTGCAAGTTGTTCTTAAAGACTGTTGTAATAATTAAAGACTCAGGATTTTTGCTCTTCACTAAGGCATTTTCAGTTTCTTTTACAATAATACATTAATAAAGGACACTGTCCTTATTTTGGCCTTTTGTTTTCCTGGAGCCAAAAATGGCATTTTTGATGTAAGTTACATATGGTTGCTAGAGAAAAAATAACTCATTCCTTAAATAAATGCTATGAATAAGAGCACCTAGATGAAAGATTAGTAGGAGAGTTACTTTATCACATCTAAACATTTACTTTAAGGCATACTTCATACTATAATAATAATCTGCTTTCCACAGACCTGAATGGCATGACTTATGTGATAGTTTCCCCATAAATTATAACTATTAGGTCACATTACTGATTCCAAATACTAAATTACAGCAAATGGCACTTAAGGATAACATTGCTACAACTGACACAGGCTATTTCCTACCTTTACAGATTGGTCATTCCAACAACAAATGAGTTTCAGCAATGAAATGCTCCCAAAGTCTGGGGAATGATATCTACTCTTATCTGAAAAACACAGTTTATAAACTGACAATATATAGAGAAACACACAAACAAAAAAATATTTTAACATTTTTAAATTTTCAGCAACATACCTGAAAAGAGTAGAAAACACGTAATTTCTTAGAACGTGCTCCCATCCAATACAATAAGCACAAGGTGTTAAAACAACCTATTGCTTTAACATTTATTCTCATCCCAAATTAAATTAGTGTTGGGTTTTTGGGGTTTTTTTCTGTTTTTGTTTTCTTTGTTTGATTGGTTTTGGGTTTTTTTGTTTGTTTGTTTGGGTTTTTTTGTGGGTTTTGGTTTTTATGGGTTTTTTATATTTTGGTTGATGTTTTTTTTAAAACAGAATTGATATCCCATGGAGCATTCTTTACTCACAACTTTCTAAATATATTAAGAATACTTTGTTTTGGACTACTTAACTATGAATTCCCTGCTCTGCTGTCCAGTCTGTCCTTGATGCTAAAGAACAGATTGTTCCTAGAATCTCTGCTATCTGCAAGTTTCAGATCAGATTTTAATTTGTAAATCTGAACAACTGTATGAACCAGGAGATATGGCATATGAGTTAGATTACCTTAGAATTTTTAGGTTACTTGGTAAATGTATTTTTATACAAATGAACATTTTAGTCACCATTTCCACACGTTTCCTCTACTTATTTTCTATGGTCACTTGATTTTATGTTCCATCTCTTTTTTCCAATAGACATTTCTGCTGTCATTGCAAGTTCTACAGTTGTGGTGCATATTAGACTCACAGAAGAAAAGGTAGTAATTTCTGATGGGGATATTAAGGTTTACCTACACAGCACAGCATCAAGATTTGATGTAAAAGAATTTGTGTTTTCAGTCTAAACATAGCTTATTCTGTATATTCTGTATTTTTCAGGTAATATGTACTGAAAAATGTCCATATTCTGTTTAGGTTTTTATTTAAATGTTCTTTGGTTAGTTACAATCTGCAAACAAACCAAGGCTGGCTTGCAAAGCCAAGACTGACGAGCGATGGCCTGTGGGACATTAACAGGAACAGATTACTTTATTCTGCCCTGAGCCAGAAGTCTAAAGGCATTATTGAACAGTCAGGATGGCTCTTGTATTACTAAGGCAACAGTTTGCTTGGAGGGCTGTATATATTATTGGGTGGGCACGTAATGGTGATGAGGGAGATGGGGGAAGGGGGTGAGGGCAGTGTTTGTCTTATTACATTGCTGTTTTTCTGATTGCTGGAAAGTGTCTTTAGAAACTCAACTAAACATCTTGTCATAACAGGAAAAATATCATTGATTCCAGTTAACACTTTGTTTACGCATTTTTCACGACATTCACAAAAGAAACAGAGTAATTCAGTTTCTCTTATCGTAGACTGGACAGCATAACGAACAACATTTTTTTATCATTATTGAAATTCAATTCCATATTTTAGCAACAAAAAGCATGCAAAACGAGAACACTTAAAAGTTAATACCACCAACTGACATACTTACTGCTTGGTAATTCTGCATAAAAATTGGGGCATGAAAGTGTTATGTCTTCCACATTTCGCCATTTGTCATGTACAGATTCTGGTTTCTGTGGACTTAAAGAATATGAAACTATTAAACAAAACCTGAACACGCATACGAGAAATCTTATGTATTAAGGTAGGGTTGGGGTTTTTTACAATAGGTACTCTGATATCAATCACTATCAACCCCAATTAAGTTTCTCCTCAGAAGAATTCACTCTCATTCTCACTTGCATTCTTTTGTCTACAACTTGGGATTGAAACATTCACAAATATAAAACACTGAAAAGTCCCATCCAAATGCAGGAACTTAAGCCTAATAAACTTTGAGCCAAATGTGAAGCTTTATTTTGCAATAAAGAAACAAATTTATATGTAAAGAACTGAATCAAAATACCATTTTCACAAAAGAATTTGTTTGTGTTTTTTCCTAATACACAGGACAAAAGTTCAAGGAAAACTAAAAGCATCTTTTTATAGGTTTCCCTTTTTTTTCCTCAGTGGTAAATAATTTAGAGTATCATTACAATATTTGGGATTTCAGTGGATGGCTACAATTTAAGAGACTAGGGTGTACATATGCTTGCTCTGAGTCACTAACTCAGCAACCTAACCTTTGAAAACAATAGATGTGGATGGCAGAGAAAGTAAAAAAAAAAAAAAACACTCAAAACCCTCGCACAATTTAGAAATATTTCTTTAAAAAAATCTCTCTAGTGACCTGCAAAAACTACATTTATGTGTCATTTTTAAACTAATATATTTGTCTTTCAAATTCACTACAATGAACAGTGAGTCATGCCATTTCAAAAGACTTTGCAATACCAAACAACTCTGAAAGCTTGCAGCTTGAGAGCTGTAAGTTCAAGGCACAAATGTTAAAAAGCAGGAGGAAACAAATTCGTTGAAGATATTTTCTTCCCAGCTTCTTCCTCTCTCTGTCCCACTTTGATGATCTCACACATTTTGCTGCAGGTTCCTTTATTTTCATAGGGTGCAAAATAACAACAGACAAACACCAGAACCCATGCAAGCTGTGAGAGCTGTCCTACTAACTGCTTCTTCAAATACTGTGGTGAATTTGAATTCAGTATGTAGGTTTCTTTTCCCTTGAGCAGACTGCAGTTAAAAGCAACCATCCAAAGAGGTTTGGCTACATACTGTACTTTTTGAAGGAAAACTCATCAAAATAACATTTGTAAAGATTTATATATTTACGTATCCTAGAGAAAACTTAGAAGTATACACCACTGTTCAGAGGGGAGGTGGTGGGGTGGGTGGGGGAGGCTTTTTTGGTTTTTTTCCTTGCAGCAACTTTAATATCTATAATTTTACAGGATATATGTCCCAAAGCCAGGATATGCATGTCTGGGAAAAATGTTTGATTTTGGTATGGTCGTTAATTTCAGTTACATCAAGTCTTTCCAAAACAGTGCTTTCCAGAAGGCCAGCATAAAGTAGTTTTTTGCATAGAAAGGAATTCATGTTCAAGATGGATTCCTGAAACAAGTATTCATGTAAGAATTTGTATTGAATATGGACCAATGGGCAACACAATTAGCAGCAAAAGTAAATGAGAAATGTGCATTTGTCCTGCAGGATGGTGCACGTCTTGAGAGAGGCTGAGTGCCTAGAGCTTTGTGGGATATTTGCTGCAAGATCAATATTTTCTGGCCTTTCTTCTTGCCTTGGGGCCATAGCATCACCAACACTGAAGTTAATTGTCCCTAAAAAACTAAATACAGACCATCACTATGTTTGCCAAACAACAAAAAATTCATGGACAATATCCATTGCCTGATTAGCATGCTCTATTTGGCTTGGTCAAATAATGTTGAGCATGTTATTTCTCCTTTAATGCTGAAAAAGCATTTAGTCAATAAATTTGCTTTGAGTAACATAAATGCTATTTGAGGTGGTTCTCACAACATAAGGGCTGATGAGGCATTCATTCCCAGGAGCTGCCATCATTACTGGAGGCATTGTACTTCAGATAGTATAACTAGGGCAGACTATTCTTCTCTCTTATGTTTTATTTATCTGCGAAGTCAAGGGTTGCATGGCAAAGGAAGTATATTGCTTATAGGGAGTGGAAGTTTAAATAGCACAAATGTGCTTAATGTGCATCTCACTATGTGCCTAAAGAGACCTCATTATTCTACTTAGTTTGAACTGCAAGGGAAAGAGTGATCTCTGGAAAACCTGGGTGTGAAGCTGGATAATTCAAGTTCTTGCTCTTATGAAAAAAAATCTTGCATCTGTTCTCATCTGCTAAACAGAAAAATGTAAAGACAATTATATCTCGATCTTCTTTTCTTCAAACAATATCTGTGAAAAAGTCCTACAGAAAGAACATAAGCTTCATTTAAGAAGTATATATTTAAGAAAAGTTTGTTTCATTTTTCATGACTACAAAGGAAGAGAAGACTCAGACTATTCTTAGCTGTAAGGGACCCAGAAGGACCATCAAGCCCACCTCTTAAGCGAATGGCCTATACAGGGACTGGACCCAGAACCTCAGCAATATTAGCACTGTGCTCTAACCAACTGAGCTAATCTCGGAGTCCTACAGAAGGAGTGCAGAGTCTCAAAATATGGAGACATACTTGTTGAAGATACTCTTCCCAAAAGGTACATGGCTCTGTGTGTTACCTAGTAAGATTTTCAGAGGTAAGGTTTGGAGTAGGAATAATACCAATTCAATAATTTATGTTTAGAGATTACTTTGCTGTGATTTGTTCTTTGAAATCAACATATCGGCTTGGTGTTTTATTTTAAGGCATGTGTTTTGGGACAGAAAAGTATAATCAAGTGCATTAGTGTGACATGGAGGAATTGGGTTTGAATGTAGAGACATTAGAGAACATAATCCACTCATAATAATAATCCACTCACCTTTCAATTTCATCTGTAACTGATGAAGGTGTGTTAATTATCCTGTTGATTAATGCTATTCTGCTAAATAAGAAAAATACTGTTTCCAAGTCCCTTGTTGCATAATCATTATTCTCAGGTCCATCTTTCTTTCCAAATTGTCCTTCAGTAGCAGCAAGGTATTTGCTTGATAAATCAAGGACTCTTTTTGAAAACAAATTGAAAACTCCATGTTCTCCTAACCCATCACAATCAGTGCATTTCCATCCTGGCAACATCAGTGAGAGGTGGCTTTCATCTGACACAAGTCCAAAAGAAACAGGACACTGAAGCCTCAAGATGTTCAGGTAACTTGCACAGAGATTGTCTATTTCTTTATCTACACCCCATGGTAGGAGACATGATAAAAGCAGTTTAGCTGTATCGGTTGCAGTGTTCATATCGATGTTTCCTGATGGCTGCATTCTGATCTTTCTTGAACTCTTCATTTTTTTCCATCTTTTTATGCCACCACCTTCTTCCATAGGCCTAGCTGGATTATTATCTTTGTGAACTTGGTCTGAACAAACAGTCTCTTCCTGCCCATCTACTTGAGGTACAAAGGCAGCAGTTTTATTTCTTTTTAATGTCAGTGCCCTTTTCTCAGTAGTACTTTTAGCTCTGTCTAGAGTGTATTGGTTGTGGAATGATTTTGATGACTTTAATCCATTGAGTTGAGATGAGAGAAGTTCCTCAAGTTTTTCCAGGTCAAATAAGAGAATATGAAAGTTTGCATTGTTCCATTTTGTCTTAGCTGGTAAAATAGTAAAGGGCTGTTGGATGCAGCTGGTATCAGTCAACTGAAAGAAAAATATTGCATGTCTAAACAAAAATCCAACAGTTCTTTGTAATTTTCAAGATATCAGCATAGAATTTCTTATGGAATAGAGAAAATCTATTAATTCTGTTACATTTAATTGAATTATATTTATTCAGTTTTGCTTAAGTAAAAAAGATTTGCTTAAGATACACAGAGACATCAGTGTGTAAATACTATAAAACAGGCTCCTTCAATTACACAGCCATACTGCAGATAGTAGCATGTATCTTTGCAAAAAAATCTAGGCTGGTATTTCTTCTGCTAAGTCTCATTTCAAGTTAAAAGGATTTTTGGAAAATTTTAAAACAGAAAACCTTTGTTTTTTCAAAATAAAGCTAGAGAAGTAAATGCTACAATGCTGCAAGATTCTTGCAAACCCTGAATGTCTGTATGTGTCTGCATGCCTTTTTACAATTTGCTATATAGGAGATATATATATATATATATATAGGGGCTTTGTATGGGATAAAGACTATACATTTTGCTATTTCAAAACATGCAAAGCTACCTCCTTTTGAGATAAGTCACAAAGCAAGAACAATAAGGAACCTAGGTTAAATATATCTCCACACACACAATTAATTACCTTAGCAGAAAATAATTAAGAGAAAAAGGCTACTACAATGTTTGTGAACATCTGACTATCTTGTGCCACCCTATTTCCTACCTGTATCTTTTCTAGAACTCTCCATAATTTTCCCCCCAACTTTGAAGCCCATTCACAATAATGGCCATTTATAAAGCATAATTTCAATTCTACATACTAATATAATAAATACACATAGCTAATTACTGTTGTTAATAAATGAAATAAATGAACTAAGGACATAGTTTTTGAAACCAGAAGATTTGAGAAGAGCTACAGCTGCTCTCAGCTTTAGAATCACATGTTAAACTGTAGAAGTAACTTCATGATGATGAACAGTCAGCTGAACATAAGGAAATGTTCAAAATCATCTTCACAAAAAACTAAATTACTCCATTTTAGCCTTGCAGTTTCATTATTTAAATGAGAAAATGTCATTAAGAAGAAAACTACATCTTTTCTTTTACCAGTGCCCTTGGCACAGGGTGGACACTATGCTGTAACAAACTCCAGTGGAAGGGATGTCTTTGAAAATGACCTGATGAGTTCACACAGTGACACAACATCTTACATCATAATCCTGCAGCACCTACCAAAGAAGTGTGTTTCACCTTCAGGGAAACACCAGAAGAGAGGGAATCTAAACTCCTTGTTGACACTTCTGCCCTTTCCTTTAAGCATTTACAACTGGTATGTTTTTATTGTCCTGAACAAGCTTATGCTCTCAGCACCATGCTCAGCCTTCACAAGCAGAAAGACACATCAAGAAGCAACTTTTCATCTCAGTAATACTTTTGCAAACCATCATGCCAGCTTCCATATCACAAATGATACAGAATTTTCCAGACCACTCTTAATTTTCTTTTGACAATTTAAAGCATTCCACTAATGCAAAGAACTTTGTTAACATAGTTATATCTCAAAATAAACCATCAAGTGTTAGTAAACAGAGCAGAAACCAGCTCTTGCTGGAATGCAATGTTGTTTACCTCATCTTTCTCATGACCACCTTACCTAACTCCTTTTACATTACAAACTATGATTTTATAGGATTAGCTATTTTAAAACTGTTAATATTTTAGTACAAATAACACGAGGAAAAAAATTGACTGCAAAAAATCTATGACGTGACTATTTAGTTTTGGGCAGTAATACAATTTGGTTTTTTGTTATTTAGGGAATGATGCTCCCAACCAGATGAGAATGCACTCTAAATACATAATCTCATTTAAAGATCTCCATAGGGAGTCATAAGTAAGAGATTATAATTGCTTGTTCAGGTTTTTTATCCCTTTCCTTTTAAAAAAAATAATACATTGTATTTAAGTTCTAAGATTAAAATAATCTTTAATTATGATGTTTCCTAATATATAGGGAGAACCCCATGAAATGCAAACACTGGAATTCACAGGCTAGCTTTGACATTAATTGAAATCATTATTATTTAGCCTATCATTTTCTCTTTCTATACTTATATTTGCTTGATTAACATTTAGAAACCTTTAGTGAAATCAGCATCCAAACAAAGGAAAACACAGTGACAATGTCAATCCATTGAGATATCTGGTGACGCATGTGAAGTCACAATAAACATTCATGTTCTATTGGCAATATGAAAGCTTATTGACATTGATCCTAAAACTGTCTGCCAAGTTATCTTAGCTCTCTGCAGCAGGCATTTCATTCCAATGAAAGACGGTGGGCATCCAAAGCTTTAGACATAAAATGCCATTTAGGATCTATGGGCAAGCTATTCTCTGTAGTAGAAGATTACAGAGAATGGAGACACCCATAAAACTAATTACAAACTAGAGAGCTGGAAACTGCTTTTGTTGAGTATTGAAAAACATATTAACAGATATTTACATTATATATTTTACCTTTTCTAGTTTTAAAGTTAATCTTTGACATGGACAGCCTACTGTTAGTTTTAAAGAAGCAAAAAGTCTGACTACAAACTAATATTATATCCTAAGACTTCTGAAAGTCATTGACCCACAGCAGAAATTGCTTTCTATATCCAGGAAAGAGCAAGATTCAGGGAGGCTTTGAAAAGCCAAACTATTTTCCATGCATGGCCAGTATCCCCTGACATCTCTCCAGCTTGCCACTGAAGATGTTTGAGCCAGAATCAGACAAGAGCTGGAATAAACCATTTTGGTTGAAAGGGAACTACAAGGATCATTTAGTCCATCTAGGCTCTCCAAATGCCCCTTAAACACTCACTGGCTTGGGGCATTGTACACATCTCTCAGAAGCCTGTTCCAGTTTTTTGGCATGCAATTCATCACTGCTCCACAAATTACAACCCTATTCCTCTACATCTTTCCCCCTTTACTCATTTTCAGCACCCAAGGAAAAGTTTTCCTGTGACTATGGGAAGGGGGCAGCAGGGGGCTGTACTTACTGTGGCCCCCAACTGCATCAATACATGCCATTATCTTTAACAGATTTAGGACAGACATAGCACATAAAAATTTCATGGGAAGTACAATTCAAGTGTTATTTTACCTAGCTGCGTTCTCATCTCTAAAGGCCTTTTTCCACTGGGATCCAACTTGTTCTGGGAATGGTATTCCACTTAAAATATACACTTCCATTAGCTGACAGGGATTCCCATACTTTTTCAGCTCCTTATATGCATGCACTTTCTCCACGTATCTGCTTTCTTTACCAGAAACATTCTATTGTGGGTTTTGTACCAAAACCAGATTTGACAGGAATGTTCTTGACATTCATTTTACATAAAGGAAATAAAGGGGCAAAAAAATCACAAGACAGAAATTTTAGAAAGCAAAATACCAGCACCAGCATTCAAAATATACTTAGACACTGGTTTGGTACCACTGAATAGAAGTTGCTCAGTTCCCATAGCACAAGTAGTATCCAATCCTATGCCAAGCAAGTCCTGAAGTACTAAATGTGACTTTTCTTCTAGACTTATGGCCTTCTTTATTCATTGCACTCTCGCTTTATCCCAAAACATAGCAGGATAAAAGTGGCAGAAAATTGGTCCCAAAGTTCCCAGTGCCTGCAGAATGAATCACGATGTACAAACCCTAAGTAGGAGCTATCCTGTTGATAGCTCATAAATAAGTTTTTTAAATTATGCAATATTTAAGGGGTCTAATTCTGTTCCTTTGAGCTTTCCCCTTTGAAATAACACATTTTGATTCACTAACACTGAACAGGTTCAATCCCCTCCTTTATCCATTGTTGCCACCTGCAAAGACTCGGGAAAATATTAGATGCAGTTGAACAACTTTAATGGGAATTTTTAGGCAGATTAGGCAGGGGGAGACTGGAGAGATGTGTGGAGCTTACCTGAAATTATGCCAAAGAGACTGAAAGGTTGTTTCATTCATAGAAGGCACACTGCTGTTTTATTTTTCTTGGGGTTAGGAATTTTCTATTTCTGATTTCCTTGAGAGTTTGAGGTTTTTTTAAGATATGTACCTTTATATTTTGACAGCAAATAGGCCATTGCCTTTTAATACAGATACAACAGCTCACTGAATGTCATGATAAAAGAGTAAGTCTTACCTGATAGACTTTTCAAGAGTAATTGTTTCCTTATTAAATATACTTACTATTAATAAATTAATGCAAACAATAATTAAAATACCAGCACCCTACTGTTTGCTCAGTGAAGATGTTCTGTGAATATCCAATAGTATGATATATTTTCAAACAAGATTTTTTTAAACAAAACCCAATACCAAATCATCAAAACCACCATATTTGTAGGCTCTAGGAAGTATTTTGACATGACAATTTTTGAAATATGACAATGTTTGATAATATCAATATGCTTATTTCAATGAAGTTAACAACAGCTTTTGTCATTAACAGTACACATATTGCTTTTAAAAAACTAAATTGTAGAGAACGTGCTACAGAAATGAAAGAGGATGTAGCAGAATTTGTCAAATTTGTTTGTAGATGGGTGAGAATTTTCTGTCTTGATCAGGCCAGTCACTGGATTGTCAACAGAAGTTCAGAGGCCATAACTTCTCAGAATCACATCTCATCACTGATCTGGCTCTAGGCTCACAAAAAATAAGTACATCACATGTCTGCTTGTAAAAGCTATTTCAGGTACTCCTACCCTCCTGTTACATTTGCAGTTTGTGGAAATTGAAGAACTGTTAGCTGAAGCATGGTCACCACACCTAAGGGTCTTATACATTAAATTGTACTACCAATGACCACTCTATTTTATTCTACATTATGTTTTATTCTTGCTGGTAGGAAAGAATACCTGTGTTAGCTTTTGTTGGATTTGGGTTTGCATTTTTCATCCATCTTTAACTACTGAATAGGTACAAAATCATCTTTTCTTGCAAAATATTTTTCTCTTCAACCTTTTTAATGAAAATAGTAGCATGAAAGAG